ACATATCTCGCCGTTTCTTGGTGTTCTTCATTCACGAGTTCTTGGCGTTCTTCTTTCGTCAGATCCGTTTCAGGTTCTATTATGAGCTTTTCAATGTTCTTTATTTCTCAGATGTGATTTTTGTTACTCCTTTAGCTGCTTGAGTTTTCTCGATTATAATGTATCTTTCTTAGATAAGATTGAATTGCGGCCTACTGTAGACCTGTTCGAGCCATACTTCCCAGCAACATCAGACATCTGCCCACTCTATCTTTGCTATTATACTCTCACATTTCGAAAATAAAAACAGATGCAAAACTTAACGAGTGCCCGCACGACAGTCTCGCGAATACTGTACTATAAAAGAATTGTTTCTGTCAGAAAAATAAAAGGCATTACAGGGCAGAGTTTCAAAGTTCGGAGGAATACTATCCGATTAGTATATACCGGGTTGAGCATCGATGTCGACGTCTCCCGCGCTCCGAAAAGTTTCGAATTGTTGCCTGAAGACAAGGGAAGACCAATCGGTATTCATTATTTCACGTCGCTTCTTCTTGTGTTTGTGCTGTGAGGTGTCCGTTGTCCGAACATGAAAATCTTTCGCGAAAGTGTTCGTTAACCGATTACCCACTATATTAGAAATCGCGTAATTATGCCAGGCTGTATCAAATATACCTATGCAATACTACTAACATGCTTATGTGGATTAATGTTTTTGTAATTATCTAATTAATGTTTGCCACGAATGCTACTGGTCATTTTATACCCTTTTTTTTCGACGGCCGGATAGCCGAGCGGTCAAGGCTGAGGAATTTTCGACCCTCGGACGGGTCGAAAATTCCTCAGGAATATTTCAAAAGGTATTCCGTTCGGATATGTCGAGCTCTATCTCCATCACCACCCTGCAGCCCCATTGTGGACTTACCCATAATGGGCTTGCTAAAAGAGGCCGTCTTAGTGCTCACAGGGCTAGAGCTAAAGGATTTTTTAAATCTGTTATATTGGTCGCTTGGTGTGATAAACCCTTACACAAGATAACTTTTGTACTTATATAAATCAAATACTATAATATGAGTTAGAAGTACGAAATAATCATAATCTTTGTTGTTATTTTTTGCCCGAGCAGTCTGGGCAAAAGATATCTCATCTGCTTGTTTTAATATACAGTATTATAATAATAATCGCAGATATTGTAAATTAAACTTAAGTAATATTTCATGATTGTGTGAAAATTCACACAATTTGTTTAAATTTGTCTAAATAAATCTTGTCTGTAGCTAATCTTAAATTCGCTTAAGCAATTTCTAAATTCAGAAGCATCTCTTATATTCATAAAAATGTTTTAATCTCTGTCATCTAAAAAAAAATAATTATAAGAACAGTTCATCCTATAATTTTAACACCAAATGATAGTTTAAAATGTATTGGTTTCAAATTACAAGTTAAAAGCATCAATTAAATTGCTGTAATACGTATAACAAATACAGTCCATTTTCTGGAGAAATATCTTTTCCAACTTCACCCTTTCTTCCCTCTACCAAAATCTTTCTGTATTGATTTAGTATTGATAACTTTATCTCTTCAATCATTATCAAAATCTTTATTTCATTTAGAAAATTTTCTATTATTTTTCTGAAGAACCAAATACTTTCAAATGGTAAAAATAATTTACACATCATAACATTTAATGAAAAATTCTCTATATTTATTCACCAAAATGAATATTTATCATATACAGTCGACCCCCGTATAAGATTATTGATTATTCTGTTTTATATGAATTCCATGTTGTACGAGTCACTTAGATTTTACAAATACGTGTACCGGGCTGTGAACGGCTCACGTTTTGTAAAATTTAAGTGACTTGTACAACATGGAATTCATATAAAACGGAATAATCAATGATCTTATACGGGGGTCGACNATAAGGGTGCGGGAGATATGGGCTTGAAAGTGGTTGAAAATGGCTTTCTATTTCGAATGTTTTGTTCGAATTTGTTCGAATTTAATTCGAACATAAAATTCGAATATTGGTTCGATTATAGAACGATCGTAAACGTTCCAGAAACGTTGAAAATAGTTCGTTTGACTGGACGTGAACAGGAGACGTTCAGAAATAGAATCGGGACCAGGAAGTGTTAATATAAAGCAGCATGCAAGATTTACAGGCTGTTTTTTGCGCTTTTGCGGGAAATCGAACATATTTTTATGCTCATGTAAAAGTTCTCTGGAAACGTCTGGAAACGGGAGACCTAATTCTTGCATTTTGTGAAAACGGGTAAGATTGGCTATAATGTAATTATCTTAATCTTCACCCACAAATAAAAACCCAGCGAAGCGGGTCCTTGCAGCTAGTAACTAAATAAAAATAAAACAAAATCATGTTAAGCTAAATAACCATATTTAAGAGCATTAATTTTACAAATATAAAATATATACATATAAATTTTAAATTAGTATATTGATAGTTACGTCAGTTGGTGCTATATCTGGCAACCTATTATGGTGTTATGGTGGACAACTCAATATAAAAAGAATCTAAAATAATATTTAAATATTAACACAGTCAAACCCCAAGGGTCCAAACTACTCTTCCGTAGTAGACAGGTTTCCGCTATATACAGGTTACCCTTGATTAAATCGATTAATAAATTGCTCAATGTGTACCGCGTATATCGAAATGGCGTTAATCAAATACGGTGGAACCCCGGTACTCAACCCAGCAATCATCACAGGCTAAAACAAATTTTCGGTTATTAGAGAGGTTGGGCAGTCGTATTCAGCCCAAAACGTGAACGGCGGACGGTCGAGCGCCGCCATCTGGCAATTCTAGACGGTCGATAATGGCGTTCGCTGCGTCTAGCATGGCGAGTAGATCGGTTTAAACTTCATTTTTTGTGTTCGGGGTTAAAATTATGACCTATTTTATTAAAATAATGATTATTTAAGCATTTGTGAATGACATTGTAAAGAAACAGACGATTTTAATCCAGAAATTATTATGCAATTTTGTAGCAAGTGATGCGAAGTACCTATAGAATTTACGGTTAATGTTACCTATGGTGCCAAAATGGCCGCGCTTCCGACAGTCGCCGAGTGCCAAACGTCACTAGTTATTGATTCATTGATTAGTTCTTGAAAAAAATAAATAAAAAAAAAGGAAACGCCTACTAAAAATGTAGTCAATCTAACGGAAACGAACCGAACCTAACCGAAGCGCGGCCATTTTGGCACCACGGGTAACATTAATCGAATTTACATATATTTGCCTTCGTAATAGCTTAAGTTAGGTTTGTTCTTTCACGGCATCATCTATCATCAACAGCGTAATACGTTTGTAAATTTTCTAAAAATTAATTATCCGAATTTACTTAGTGACAAGCCACTACTTCCCTCGACAAAAGGATGAGGTAGTCCGATCGTACGGTAGGAGACACCACGCTAATTAAAAATAATTAATAGAGACCAAACGCCATTGTCAAACTTCTAGGCTTACAGGAAGATGGCACTGAACGTCCGACGTACACGTTTTCGCATTAAAAACGTCGGCCGCAACCTCTCTATTAAGTGTTATTAAACATCCTATAAATACTTTAAAATAGTTTAATTTGTTTATTTACCTTTCGCTGGTAACCCTCGATGTTAAATGTATCCGCCATTTTTCCAACAAATTTCCTGAGTCAATGCGCGACGTTCACTGAGTCACGTGACGTGATGTTGTGAATGTGTATTGCAACGATTTTTTCTTGGAGTTAAAACGTAAACCGTGTACTCCTGCTTGGCGTGTACAAGTAACGTTTGTACTTGGGCCGCAACCTCTCTAACAAATATTTTTATTTTAACTTTAAATTTTTTCAATCATCTGAAAAAGTTCTGAGATAAAAATGAGTAACCAGTTTAAAAATAAAAAAGCCTGACAGCTGCCTACCTTCGTCAGACAAAATTATACTCGATTCAGTTCGTTTTCTTCATAAGTAGAAAAAAAACAAAAACTTCGCGCGGAAATAATCATCAGCATGTTTTACAACCATTTCAAGTGGATGTGATGTTTCAACATGTCTGTGACACACTAAGATTTGTTGCAAATTTACGAGTTGTTATCCTCAATCTTTAACAATTTCTTCCCGCAATTTCTCAACTTTTGTGGGCCCTTACGTTTTGTATCCTTTAATTCAAAATTTCCCGAATGAAACTTTCAAAACCATATTTGACACATTTCGGAGTTTAGAAGTAAAAAATACCCATACAAAGTACGAGTATTTTTTACTGTTTGTATAGCGTGATATCCTTTACGAAACTTAAAATAGCATGCGTAATATATCCAACGTGCATTTCATATGCAGACATTTCGACTTAATTTGTATTGAAACGAAATGTGATGTAAAAAAAGTTTAAACTTCAAAACAAAGAATACAATATAATATGTGGAATAATGTGTTAAATTTCACAACTTATAATTACATCACTTATTTATGTTAATTATTAATTAATTAAGCAAAAACAGCTGTTAACAAAAATACGCAGAAACTTTCGTTGAAATCCCAATAAAATTACTGTAATACTGTAGTCATATTTTCCTATTCTGTATTGCATGTGTATTTTTTTATTTATACATTCTAGGCTTGTAGACTTCTTGTTAAATCGGATAGATACCAATTTTTCTGTTATAAGGCCTGATTTTCCTTTGTTTCCGCGTTAGACCGGTTCCGCTATATACAGGATAATTTACATTAATTTTTGTAAAAAATTCAAGGGACTGAAGAAATTTTCCATTAATGACAGGCTTTCGCTATACACAGGTTCCGTTATAGACAGGTTTGACTGTATTAATGATGCTATTAACACTTCTTTTATCAGAATAATAAATCATCAGTTAGACCATATAAATTTTTTAAAAATTTTAATGTTTGAAAGTATTTTTTAACAAACATATGTGATATAAACACATTAACTTGAAAAACATTTTTAAATGCAATTTTTATGAATTAAATTTTATTTTCAAGATACAATAAATGACATTTAACTTTTAAATTTAAAATATGGAGATCAAATACCTGTCATTTTAAACTGACAGTACAAATATTTTAAAATTAAATTTTTAAAATTTATTATTATATATTAAAAAATAAATTATTATTGGACTTACACGAAAAAATTCAATTCACAATACAAATAAAAAATTATGTTTTAATACACTTTTAACAAAACCCCAAACTTAGTATCCAACTCTTTAAATATAAATTTTAAATTCTCATAATATAAAAAGACAAAAGTCAAATTACTTAATTAAATGACTAAAATAAGAGAACTATATAACAAAAATGAATTAAGAAATTTTATATAAACACAAGTGCTATTATACATATTTCATTGGATAATACATTCACATTTTTTTGATAATTCTTACTGTGTAAAATCTATGTGAGACAAATCATTACAATTTATATCTTGAGCTGTTGCATTTGGTGAGGCACATATGGCACTAATGTCATTTTGCATTTGAAGAGTTTTGTTTTTTTCACCTGAAGGAGTGCTTGTAACTTGAAATAAAGTTTTTGGTTTTGTATTGATTTTACTAAGAGCTTTAGGTGTCTGACATAAAATATTTCTTTGTAAACAAATTCGTGGGGTTAAATTTGACAGTTCTAGTACTTTTTTATCTATCCTTTCCAAAGATATTACTGGATTTTTAATACATAATTCTGAATAAAATCTCTTTTGTAATATATTGGATTTCTCATTTTGATGAGGAATTATTGTTGTTGCATTTTTTCGTTTAGCTACTTCTTCAACTAATTTTTTTGCTATTCTAACAGAATTTAAAATAGATGCAGAACTATTTCTTCTATTCATTACTTCATTTACAGGTGTTTTATCTGGATAATCCTGTTGTGTGCCTGAATTTTTTCGTGGTGTTTTTACAGTTCCTAATTCTTTTTGAGGAACTTTTTCTTTTATTGATTTTTCTCCTTTGTTCTTGTCTTCTTGTTGCACATTAGTAACTTCTTGCATTTCTTCTTCCTGATTTTGTTCAAATCTACGAAGATCAAATTCTATTTCTTTGGCTAATTGCTTATCTGCTGCCATAATCTCTTTAAGTTCATTTTTATAATCTTTCAGTAATTCTCTCATAAACAACATGAGATCTTTCAGTAAAGGAGATTTAACTTTTTCAAATATATGCTTTAATGCTATTACAATAGGGACAATATTTTCAATAACATTCTTCTTTACCATATGTGAAATAATTGTCTTTTGTGCAGTAGCTACAATAGCTGCAGCTACATCACCATCTTCCACTTCATCCTGGACAGATGATGTGAGTGTTGTTAATTTGATTTCATCACAACATAAAATTGAAAGTGCATCCTGAAGAAGACCTGCACTCTCCTGATTTAAAGGAATTGTTTCTGGTACAGCACTTAAAATATCTTGACATAATTTCAAATTCAGTTTAAATCTCTCTTCATCCTTCATATTTTCTAACATAAATTTATATAATATCATTCTGTTGCATTTATTTTTAGGACCATTCAATGCAAATAACTCTACTTCTTCCTTCCTCTGTGTGAATTTGTTGTAAGAAGAATGAGAAGTATAGCAATTATAAAAAAATATAGATTCTACAAAATGTTGAAAAAACATATGAGGATGTCTTTGTAATAACAAATGGCCCAAACTGTATCTGACGAAATTCTGAATTTCATTGTTTTCGTCTATTAAAGTAATTAGCATACGAAAAAATAAAGTACCTTTCCATTTTATATAATCTTCTTGTAAAAGCTGGGTTAAAAGAATCAAAGTTTGCTTTCGTACAAAGGGTGAAGAATCCTTCAGACATGCTGTTATTGAAGATATATAAGGATCAACAAGTAATGTATATCTGACACTAAGATCTGCCATAATGATGACAATATTATTTCTGATAATAGGATCAGAAGAAGAAACTAATTCTTTTGCAAGAGCTGCAATTGACTTTTTTGCAAAATTTTCATTCTGCAAGCACAGCTTACCAAGAGCAATGAAGGCATGTGCTCGTACCTTAGATGTAATTTTGTTTCCATTATATTGAGATGGAACTATAGTATTAGATTGAGAATTTGCTTGGCTTTTTTGGTTAGAATCTGAAATAATGAAATATTTTGATTGTAATAAAGAACTGTGTTATAATATCAGATAATTAATTATGATAAAAATTTTGATAAATGAAAAAGTTCATTAAAAGTTTTCATTAAAACAAAACAATTCTATTTCTTTTTGTTTTAAATTAATTATTATATAAATATCTAATCATACAAAAAATCTATCAAAGGAAGTATTATATTATCTAAAATAATCAATGAGTAACAACATATATAGTCAAAATTAAATATAAATAAGTAAAATAAAAACTGCAAACTCAATGAAAAATAAATACAGCATCTGGCAGAAGAATGGAAAATTATAAATAGACAGTTATTAACTTTTGATATTTTAAAATAAATATTCATGTACAAGATTTCTTTGAATGTGGTATATGAAGATTGTTCAGAAACTATTGAAATTCCTAAGGCAAAAAATTTGTCATGTAATCAACATGTTTGAGAATATGCTTCACTGCTTTATGTATGGCATATTTTAAAGATGTGAAGAGTGTCTGAAATCTTGGAAATGAAAATATGTTTAAGAATATTCAAAAGTTGGTAGCAGTCTATTTATAAGTGTCCATTTTTCTACTGGACCTTAGGGGCCATCCGTAAATTATGTAAGATATTTTGGGATGGGTGGGGGTCAAGGATTTCTTATGATTTCTTACTCAGGGGTACGGGGTAATAGATCTCGTCTTATGTAATATTCTTATTTTTTATTTTTTGATCTCATTGAGTGGTGGCGTTTTGAATTTGGCTTCAATTTGGCGGTTTCTATTAAGAACACTCATTGTCTCGTGTGATGTGATAGAGTAATAACACTAGCAGATTCACGCTCTACACATTTTTTGTCATGGGAGAAAGGCCATGTGGTGGTTTCTCTCTCTCTCTCTCTCTTTTTTTAATTAGAATAAGTGCACCACTACTACGGGTGTATAACACTAAGAATACATAAACCAAAATACATGATACAAAGTAAACATAAAATTAGTATTTGGCTTTTAGTGAAAACTAAAATGTAAAACTAGAAATTATAAATTATAAATAGTCTTTTCTTCCATATTTTTTAAGCATAATTGTAAAAAGCATCAAACAGTGATTTCTGAACAAGCTTATCGAGTAGACATGGCTACCTGAAACCAAGTGTAAAGATTTCTAATTTCAAAATAAGTCTGTCTTGATCGTAAATTAGACAATGATAGATCATATGGTCGATGGTGTCTAGGTTTTTTGTAGAGCAAAAGCAAGAAGCAGTTTCTGCCCGGTTATACATCACCAGGTAGCTTCTAAAATTACCATGCTCAGTAAGTAGTTGAGCAGTAGCAAACATTAAATCTCTGAGTAGTGATGAGAACCTACATTCAACACTAAGAAAATAAAGTCTTGTTATTCTATCAGTTTTACTGCTCAACTACTTTTACTGATTCCACTTTTGCACAGCATTGTCATGAACATAATTTTTAAGGCTGCTACATGAGAGAGGGATGTGAGTGTAGTCCAAATTAGTGTCCTTTGCAGCTGACTTAGCCTCAAAGTCGGCTTTTTCATTTCCTAGTATGGCAGTATGGCCAGGAACAAATATAAAAGTTATCTTATTTACAAGATTTTTAATATGGTGCTGGATATATGCAATTTTATTGCTATTGCAATTGGGATTTAATAAAGCTTTTAGGACAGACTGAGAATTGCTGTAAATGTTGATAGACAATGTTTTGTTTGATAGTGAAGTGGCCCACTGAATAGCCTGGTAGTCAGCATCTTCTTCAGCTTGATAGATGGAGGTATGTGGGAGGTATCTGTACCTTCTAACATATTTTTGGCAAAATATGTTAGTTTGGAGGAAGATACAGATATACTTGAGCCGATTCAAGAAGGGAGCTTTTGGACCCATCTGTGTAGATATTAATGTCTGCATGATTAACCATGGAGGAAGCAGACGACACCAAATAACCTTGTTTATAGGATGATGATCAGCGATAGTACAGTAATTGCAATATGGTAACATATGAACAGCCGTAGATAGGAGTAGAGACCATTGTTGAGCCTTGACGTTTGTAGTTCTGATGTAGTACCTTTTCTACAATACATAGTGGCAAAGGAAGCAGCTCTGTTAGTATCAGAGAGGCATTAGTAAAAACAGTTCTGCAGTACTTTGAAATTCTGATGGCAAGCTGACTTTGAAGAGAGAGTAATTTACTTGCTACTGAATTTTTACTAGTTACATGACCACAGCCAGAGACTGCATAAAGTAGCATTGGTTGTATTGCCCCATTATATAGAGTTTTACAAGCTTTATGATTTAGTCCCCAGGAGCACCTAGCACATTTTAGCAGCATGTAGTTTATTTTCGTGGCCTTAGCCAAGATGTAATCAATATGGCAACAGAATGTGGTTTCTCTCTATTCTCTCTTGTTTTATTTTGTATGATGTTTCTGTTCACACGTGCACTAGCTAGTCAATCTGGCAAAAATTAATTAACTAATTAATAATTATATATTTTGGACCTAAGGTTTTTAGGGTTTCATAAAAAATTTTTTGGAATCTTTCTATAAAATCATGTAAAATATTACATCAGATAGGGAAGGGGAGGGGAAATCAAAGAAAATGTTATGGTTTCTTATGCAGGAGTGGGTGGGGGTCCAGAATGGCCAAAATCGTCCTTACGTAATTTATGGACGGCCCCTTATATAAACAAACAACTAATCTAATAGTCAAATATCAGAGTTCAGAGAGTGGTTTTATCCACTCGGCTTTACAGGGCACTTTTTAGAATTAAAAAAGTATCGTTTAAAAACAAAAAAACCCGAGTTGTTACATTTAGAAAATTAAAGACATATTACTACTATAGACCAGTGGTTGCCTAACTTTTTTGATTCTCGGCACCCTTGCTAAATTCAGATTTTCCCAATGCACCCTATGTCAAATTCTAACAAGTACAATTTGAGAAAGAGCAAAATATCCAATATCTTTTTAATTAAAGAGTTAGGACATTAAGTAAAAAATAAATATTGAAGTGTTCGGAAAGTAAGTTTGTTTTTTCCGTGGAAAAAAAACACAATATTTTTATAATGAATAAATATTTTATTGAATTATATATTGACCATTTTGGTCAAATACCTGTTGTCATCGTTTCTGGTAGTAGCATGATTTCACATTCATAAAAGTTTTGATCATTGCTTACAAAAAATTGATCCAAGTGATTTTTGACATTGTCATTTCAAGTAAATGTCTTACAGTTAAAAAAAAATTGTATAGACCGGAACAAGTAATAATCTGAGTGTGCTCAATCTGGCGAATATGGTTGGTGTGATAGCACCTCCCATCTAAGTTATAACAGTTTCTGATGAGTTACCAAACTTGTGTGAAATTTGACATTATCATGGTAAAACACTACACCTGTTTTATTGATCAATTCTGGCTGCCTTTTCTGTTTGATGATATTACTCAATTTGCTTACTCAATGGCAGTACATTTTCAAATCAATTGTTAAATTGTCTGGTAAAAGCTCCAAAAAAAGTTTCCTTAAAATCCCACCAAAGAGAGCATCTCTCTTTAAGAACATATCATGGAACCCATATATCAAGCTTTAAAACAAAACCAATTTGTTTCAAGTAATCATAAACAGTTCATTTTGACAAATTTAATCTCAGTGATTTCACGTGTTGTTATTCAATAGTTTGCTTCAATCAGTACCTTTATTTTGTTTTCATTGGCTTCAACTGGCCATCCAGAATGTGGTGCATCTTCAATATTGAAATTGCCAGAACGAAATTTTGTAAACCAGTTTTGGCACTGTCATTCTGTCAATACATCTTCTCCATACACGTCACACAATTTTTTTCTCGCTTGAACAGCATTCTTACCTTTTCGGTAATAAAAGAGCAAAATATGCCGAAAATGCTGCTTTCGATCTTCCATATTTGATGGGACACAAAAAATAAACAATTGCACAAAATCAAACAAAATTTTTTACAAATAAGCCTTAAAATGCTAGCTGTCAAAATATATAATGATAATATGGTTTAGAATGAAAATGGCAGAAAAAATACGACTAATCTGTCTAGTGGTAAAAAAACAAACTTACTTTCCGAACAACCTAATAAAACACGTATTTAAGGTAACAAAAAATATAATTGAACAAATTCAATTAATTATAATTAGTGCGATGAATGAGCCTGTTGATCACTGCACATTTTCTCAAACCTTAGAATCAAACTGGACACAGCCACCCTCATTTCCTTCTACACATTAATTTTCGTGTAATACTTAGTTTTTATCACAGCGACAAACTCAGCTTCACACAAATAAGAAGTCGCAAATTCAATTAAAATTCTATGAGCTTTACCACTCAGAAGGGGACATTCATCTTTTACTGATATCCAAAATTCAGCTAATTCCACGCTGCTAAATTTTGTTTTCAACATATTGTCACAAGACAACTCAATAAGATTCTCTTCTTCTGCAGCAGCGAATTCAGATGGAACACTGGCATTAAATGGATTTTGAATCCATGCAAATTTATCATTATTATCATTTTGAAAATATTTTTCAAACCAGGTGATAAGCTGTCATAAATGTTCTTCAAAAATAGAGTTCATACCTCAAGAGAAATCAACTCCATTGAAGTCAAACGCTGTTGCAACAAGGAGAAACATTCTTTCCTCCGTCTTCATTTATTTTTCTTTTCCATAGTTTTCATTTTTTTATAAAAGCTGAACTTTTCTCAATCGACTTCAAAAGGTGCATGTTGCTTTCCTGAAGGGAGAGATTCAGAGCATTCATCTTTTCAAAGATATCATTTAAATATACTAGTTTTACCAAAAAATCTCCAATCAGAAAATGTTCAGCATACTTCTGGTCTTCCTCTTTAAGAAAAATATAAATTTCCTGCCCCAGTTCAAATGTATGAGACAAAAAATTATCTCAAGATAATGTTTTGTGCTTTCTCAAAGTGCTGGTAGTACAACAAAACATGTGCTCAGATCCCACAACCTCAC